ACTTTTAATGACAAAATTGGCAAATAATTTAAGATTAATGTCCGTATATATATATAAAAATATACACACAAAAATAAAATAGAGAAAAATATATAGAGAGATATACACACACATGCACACACATTAAAAAAAAAAAAGAAAAAAAAAAAGAAAAAAATAAAACAGCACAGAGACAACACCTCTCTTCTAGAGAAAAAACACCACAGCAACAAAACATCTTCACACACAATGAAACAAATGCAAAGAATTGCAGCTACTTTGGTGGCTTTTGGCTTGGACTCCTTGCCATTGCTGCTACTATAGTGAGGTGACTTCCAGCTGTGCATAGTGCTTGGTCATGCCTTTGCTTTCACTGGCCTCTTTGCTGGTGGCTGCATCTGCAAATGGCTACAATCAAAGTCTCTGAGTCGGTCCTCAGCATTTGTCCCAAGCTCGTCTTCTCTAAACTGCCTGCCTTCTCCAGCACAAGCTGATGGGCACACTTGCAGCTGCTTCAAGGACATAGCCAGATGCAGTTCAGGGTAGGATGCCACATCCTTTGCTTCTGTTTCTAAAAGTCTAGAGATAGGTGCTAAAATATCTGTTGGGAAGGCTCAGCATCCTCTGTAGTTATTTTGACTCTCCTCTGTTGCTTTTTGCAGAGTAACATAAAACATTGGAGTTTTCCAAGGCAAGATATTTTGGAAGGACATATCTGCCACAATTCTCACTTTATATTGGAATGGATCGCACCCAGGACTGATGTGCCTTGGTTTTCTGAATGATGCTTTGGATAACATTCAGGAGATCTAGTTTGGTCCCTTACTTTATTACCTTTTGCCTTACTTTATTACCTTTTTTTGGAGTCTACAGTCAAATCTGACACCCCAAAAATACCTGTAATGCTAACAGTAGTAGTAGGAGTTGTTTTCTACCTCTTTTCCTCTGTAGGACTTCTGTGTGAATGATGCTGCCTTGGGGATGGAAGCAGCAAAATCAGCCTTTTGGAAAGAGTTCCCAAAGGGGTTTGTTACCGATGTGTTGATCAACTGCTTGGCATCATCACTACATGCTTTTCTGGGGACCATGTTTGAACTAAAAATACAAGGTGAAATTGTCAAATACACCAGCATGGTGCAAGTGCAAGCTTGTTCTGCAAACTTGTAACGGTGATTGTACAGCTGTATGGTGGATATTTTTCCTCAACATCCTTTTGGTCTTCAACAAATGTCAGTTTGTCCACAGGACATGACTTTGCTGTGAGAGAAGGGTACTTATGGCAGTAGACATTTTTGTGTGTTTCAAAATGGATATAAGAATATGTGGGACAAGGTTAAATGAGGATTTCAGCTCACTCATCCTTCAAGGAGATGTCTGGGGACTTTTTTGACCATGCAGCAAGGTTAGGCATCGGTTTTCTTCTTTCTTTAGTAGAAAACTCCTTGTTCTGCTTAATCAGCTTTAGTTTTATGCTCTTCTGCGAATTGGAGAAGAAAATTCTCAGAAACAGCAATGCCTTGAAGTAGGTAAGGAGTGGCATTTCAGAAGTTGAAACAATTTGTAATTTTGAGGAAGTGATAGTATTGCTTATGTAAAATGGTGCCCTGTCAGCTTATTTTTACACATGGTGTTTTATGTTTAGCTGGACAGATGTTTATTATGGTTTACTTTTTGCTATCAACCACATAGCAGATTGCTTATTTTCTTATGGGTTTGAGGAATGGGGAAGGAAATCTATCAACCTGATATAATAGTAACCATTAGATAAAAGGAGGAAGAATACCTTATTTTATTTGAAAATACAATAGCGGCAAGGCACAAAAAGTTGGACAGGGAACAAAAGTAATAAACATAAAATGCACTGTAAATAAAACACCAGTAGCAGTTGGACTATTGAAGTTGGTGGGAGCTTTGCCATTGACTTGGTGGGACAGGAGTCACCCAAGGATGTGGCCCCTGGCCCAGGGTCCACCCTGCTAGGCTACCTGGGTGTGTCCTTGCTTCCCACCACTCCCAAAAACCTCTGCTCCAGCCAGAACATGGAGATACCCAAAGTCTTGGGGTGAAGCCATTTCCTACCCAGGGTCTGAGTGGCTGGGACTTGCAGCTCAGCATTTCTCATCGGAGAAACCAGAGCTAAGGCAGGGGTGAGAGCTAGGCATGTGCAGAACAAAACTCATCTATATTCATTCAGATTCAAGTTTCCTCAGCTTGAAGGTGATTAGGTACCATCTGGAAACATTTCTGGAATAATTTATATTGTTTTATGTTATTAGGACTGCATTATGCCATGGGAATACTGACTGTGCATTCAAAAAAAAGGCTCATCTTTTCAAGTGAGGTTGGGAGTGGAAGCAGCCCAGAACAAAGGGTCACTTCAAAGTCAAGGATGACCGTTTCAGAAGGTGAAATCACAGCTGGATCCAACTTCTAAGGAAGGGAAAAATCATAATCTCTGCCAAAATCGCCCTTTGATACACTTGAAAAGATAACAAATGATATATAGAAGGTTTTGGGCAGAAGTGTAATGAGTCTGCACTGCATCCTGCTAAACCAAAAGATTGTTCTCCTGAAAAAAATGCCACTTATCTTCATTGAAGGTCTCTTTGTTAAGTGACAGTGAATATAATTGAAAGTAAAAGGTGGATTTGATACCTGCTGTTTCCAAAGCAAAGAAAACATGTGAGAGATGCTTAGGATGGTGATCAGTGGCCTGTGGGATGAATGACAGTGCTGTGTGTGAGGGCCACAGAACGTGGCTGCATTGCAGGCTCCCTGTTGGTTACCTGCAGGTTATAGGATGTATTCTATTCACAACAGAGATGCTCAGACTTTGACATGTTTTTTGTGAAAGAGGCAGTTGATATCTTTATCTGGAGTTCAGCTGGAAGAGTACTGTCTGCTGGCATTAAGCCAATTGCAGGATGTTGGTCTTAATTTCCAAGTCTGACATAATTAAATAGCCCCTCTTCTAAGCAAATTATTAATAAAAAGCAGTTCTGCTTTATTCTTGATGGCCATAGTACATCTGTGCACACCTGTAGATAGGCCCAAGGGAGCTTCCAAATGAATTGCTTTGAAATAACTTTCTTCTGGGATACTCTCAAGTGATATATAAACTTGAAATAATTCACTAGGTTATTTTTTTAGTGAATAAATTGTATGTCCCCCTGCCCCTTAGGACCTTGCAAAGTTCTCTCCCTGATCCTCCATCTCTGCACCAAGGATCTGTTCCTCTCCTGGGGACGTTGCCCCTCACCAACCCTGTTTTTGTCAGGGAAGTGATTTCTCGTGATGTGTCTGTGATGGGGCAGGGAATTGGGGACCAGTTACCCCTTCATTTTCAGTGCAGAATTAAAACCACTAAGTTATGTTTGTTTTGCAGGATACCAGATTTTGTTAAGGTAGATGGCTGTGTAGGAAGTAAAAGGTCTACCACTGTTGTTAGGTAGCATCCTAGAAAACAACAGAATTCATAGGAGACACTCCAGTACCACAGTCTTCTTGTCCACTTAACCCAGTTCAAAATTTGTGACTGCCCTATCCCAATTTTAGAGGGGTAGGCAGTTGTCCAGTCAAAAGCAATCCTGACTGACATGGATTTGGGTAAGGTTCAGGTGAAAACAAGATTGAGTGAACAAACTCACATGAATGCATTTAGGTAAAGACTTAGGTCTGTCTTCCTGCTGAAGGGAGAAGATAGTTTTCCTCTCTGTATGTGTTGGGAACTCCCATGGTTAATGAAACAAGATTTTTGTAAGATTGGCCTAAAACCTGCCTTTCCTTATTTGTCTAAATCCATGTCTGTTGGGAGCATGTTTGAGAGCTGTTGGTATGGTACAATTCCTGACACAGTGAACCTTGTAAATCCTCAGCCCTGTTCCTGCAGTTGTAATTACTTTCTCATAGTAGGGAGTTAGTATAAAGCCAAGAGAAAGGGATTTAAGCCTTGTGGACTTAGATGGGTGTCTTGGAAAAGTGAAGAGGATTTTTGGTTTTGTAGTTGATGCTGTGGTAACAAAGTTGAAACATGGATTTAACAGCTGCCTTGGTTAATTAAGTTTCTTAGCATGTATTTTCCCACCTTTTAAACTAGGTTTTAGCTGGAGCGGAGTACCAATCTCACTGAACTCTACTGTAAATTGCATTTAGGAGTATATTTGCCTGCACGTTATTCTCAGCACAGTATTGATGTCTGTGTGCAATGTGTACTGCTGGAAAATGTATGTCTCAATCCAGCATTGCATCAAAATAAAAGAAACTTTTTCCTTTTCCATAATTAATGAAGAAACATTTTAAAGCCCTGTTGTTGAAGCCAGGCTGAATGGTACAATGTAGATATCAGGGTGGATAGCTGTTGGACCTAGGGGATGCAGTCTGAGATGGAAGATGAGGTTCATCCTTGTAGGCTGAGGCCACACAACCTGGAGATTTGTAGAGTAAAACAGAGAAAATCTGATGTCCATACAACACACCTTACAGAGGAGATTGTCCTGGAGTAGCTGTTTCCTCAGGATATCAGTTTGAGAGGTGTTACGTACATCCCTGCAACATCCTCAGGTTTAAATTCATCCCAGTAGTACAGGGTTTGTGCACTCCACAAGCTCTCTGCAGTGTGGACCCAAGTGTGGAAAATAGGGAAAACTGGGACATTCAATTTTAAAGTACTCTCTTGCCCAGAACAGGAAAACTCCTCTGAAATTGGAAAGACAAAATTTGCATTTTTAGTTTGCCCACTGTGGAGCAGGGTGGGAGCGGGACTGGAATATCACCTCTCTTGGAATTGCACGAGGTTTGCAGCAAGACTGAGAGTTGGAAGAAGAACTTTGGTGTTGTTTGTTTTAATTCCCCATGGTAGGTCTACATAAAATGTCAAAGGAGACATTTCACTCATAAAAATGTGGAAAATGGGAAGTTTCATTTGCTGAAATATAACAGGGCTGTAGCATTGTACCTGTGCAGTGATGCTGGTGTAGAGGGCTATTCTGGTCTGGATAATGATGACAGAATCTTTCTTGCAGGTGCAAACAGCAAGATGGAGTGTCAGAAAATTACCAATTTTGGAAACCAGCTTCTTCGTCGGAAAAATGTGGACTGCTCTCGAGAAGACAGTCGCCTCTCGCGATGCCTTAACACGTTTGACTTGGTGGCTCTGGGTGTAGGCAGCACTTTGGGTGCGGGTGTCTATGTACTGGCTGGAGCTGTGGCACGGGAAAACGCCGGGCCTGCCATCGTGATCTCCTTCTTGATTGCCGCCTTGGCTTCCGTGCTGGCCGGACTCTGCTACGGAGAATTCGGCGCTCGAGTTCCTAAGACGGGATCGGCTTATCTCTACAGCTATGTGACTGTGGGTGAGCTGTGGGCCTTTGTCACAGGCTGGAATCTAATCCTCTCCTATGTTATCGGTAAGTGTGCTGGGGGTGCTGCGAGAGCCTAGCTTCAGTTCAAGGTGGCAGCCTGGTCTGTAGGGTCACACCTGTGCTACTGTTACAAAAGAGATGCTTCACTCGTGCACTCACCCAGGATTTCAGGACTCGTCAGTGGGATGCGTTTTTGATGGCTCCCATGCTGCTGGCTGAAGGCTTATTGCTGCTGGGAATTCCTCTGAACCTCCACCTCATCCCTCTAGCATCCCCTGGCTTCTGCACAGTTGTTAGGGTGCTAAAGAGTGTCCTCTCTGCTGAGAAAGGAGCTGCTTACAGAAAGATGCTTTTATACAGTGTCTGTACTTACAGTTGATCAAGGATTAATTCTGGTCCCTTTGGGACCTATTTAAAGTATCTGGAGATAAGAGTTTTGTCTTGTGAATTGCTGCAGAATTAATCTTGAGATGATCTGCAGGTTCACAGTCTCTTGAAAATACAAACCAAATCCCTCCTAAGCCCTTGACTCCCACTAGGAGAGGCCCTGGCTCAAGCTCAAAGCATGCGCTGTGCAACTCAGCTGATGCATTAAAAAACTAAGCCACATTTTGCTAATTAAGGATTTGTGTCTTTTCAAGCGCATTCTGGGCAGGCTGCTTGTTATCACACTTTAAGGCTGCAACAGTCTCAGCAGTTGAGACTGAAAGTTTGCTAGTTAAAATGAAAACTGACTGTATGCTAAATTACTAAAGGGAGTTGGTATTTTTAAATGCATTTTATGGGGTTTGTAAGCATTACCTTGGAATTTAGTTTCCATGGTGCTTGGAGGGTAAGATCATATCAAGAACAGCATAGTGGCATAGCAGCTGCCTGTCTGAGATCATGCTGGCTTTCCTCTGTGTGTTACCCAAAATATTTTTCTCCTCTTCCCCTCCTTCTTTGAAAAAAAACAAAACAAAAAACAAACAAACAAAAAACAAAACAAAACAAACAAACAAACAAAAACCAAACAAAAAAAAAACCAGAACCTGAAAAGCCAGAGTCAATTAAACTCCTGTCCTTAAGAAATTGGAGTCCTGTAGCTATTTTGTGAATTACATTCACTGCAGGGAGTAGATAAAAATAAGTTTTTAAAAAAGTAAGTGTATAATTTCTTCCACACTTCTACAATGGACTCTGCTTAGGCTACACGAAGAAAAATTGAACAGACTTCTTGGTAATTTTTCTTCTGTTCCAGAAAGGTAATGATAAATCGTCTCCTTCATGCCCTTCATCTAGTTGGTTTTGGGGCCATTCCTACCATGATACTGGACGACCAAAATGAGTGACATAGCCGTGGTTGCTGTCCCAAAACCTGATTCTGCAAATGCTCAAAGAAAAGTTTTGCCTACTGAATGTTCTGCTCCGAGGATCTGGGCTCAGAGTGGTATTTCCGAGATTTTTTTTTTTTCCTCTCATAATGGATTTCGAACAACTGTCTCAGTTCTTATTTCAGAGTTGACTACTCGCTGTATTGTCATAAGACAGGAAATTCAGTTAAAAATAAGTAGATACTATCCATGAATGTGTTCAAATACAACTTCCTTACTTTTATTTCAGTCCCGTGTCAAGAATGTATATTTGCAAACTGTCTTTCTCATAATATGTGAGAAAGGGTGGCTAAGGTGGAAAAACTCTGGCAGAGGGTATGAAGTGTAGGAGGTCTCCTTATCTTGCTCAGCTTTTCTGCCAGATCTAATTGCCCCTCTTGTGAGCAAGGACAACTCCCAGCAGCTTCTGGAGTATGGAGGAGAAAGATATGTTGGCTTCCACTGTCAGGTCCCAGTCAGCTCACTCAGTGAGACTTTTGGAAGTGTTTATAATGGTTGCTGTACTCTGGTTAGACACATGGGAGAAATACTGACTAGATAGTCTCAAGAAGTCGAAACAGCACAAAAGTTTTCTGGCAAACTTTTGAAAAATTAGGAGACTTTGGCTAAAGACTCCGTACAACATGTGATCAACATAAAAACACTTCTCCCAGCATTAATTTTGCCCATCCAACTTAGCAAACTTTAAACCTATTAGTTACTCAAAATCTTCTAAGAAGAGGGAATTAGAAGGAGTGAAAGACAGAGAAGATATAGAAGAGCACATATAGCTACCAATGCCTGTCTTCCGACAGTGTTCAGAATCAAACTCCAAGAGGAGGGTAGGATCAAGATGTGCTGCACTCGTGCTCAGCCTTAAAAACTTGGTGGGACTTCTGGTCATTTGGCTACTCAGGAACTGGGTTAGGCAGAGTGGAGACCTGCCCCTGGTGTGCCAGTGCAGTGCTGGAATAGAGGTTGGGGGGTGTGGAGGCAAGGCACTGCCGCACCAGCGAAAAGCTTGGCCTGCTCGCTCTCAAACGCACAGGCATCCTTAAGTGTCTCAGGACATCAGTCCTTCCAGTCTCTGACAGCACACGCTGCACTTCAGAACCAGGGCTTGAGAGGGGCAGAAAGCTGTTTTTTTGTTTTTTTTTTTTTCTTAATCTTGCTGAGAAAATGGCAAGCAGTGCATTTAAAATGTGCATCTCTAAAGGGCTTGGCCAGCTTGGTGTTTTCATGCTGAGGTTCTCAGACATCAGCTCAGGAAGTATTGTGAGGGTGGAAAAAGAAATCCTGGAGTCCCAAGGATGGGTGGCCAGTAACTTTTAATTAATTGAAGTGACTTGACTTGGGGGAAGGCTTGTGTGGAGTCTTGGAGGTGGGTGATGAGAAATAAATGGGTATGCAGCTTATCAGTTATGGTCTAGAGAGAAAGAGAAAGGTGTCCAGGATCAGATGTAAACTTTTTTCTAGGATGATGTGGGTTTGGGGAACTGTTCCAGATTGTGGAATCTGTTTCAAGAACTAGAAACTGGTGGGAGCTGGTGCTATGAAGAGTAACAACATCTCTGTTCAGTAACTGCTGCTGGGGTTTCCTGGCACTTGGTGACTCCGTGCCCATGCTTGTTCCTGCAGCGAGCCTGGCACCTGAGCTCTGCAGTTCTTCTGGCAGCTATGTGCTGTAGGCAGGAGCCAAATCTGCTGTGGTGAGGCTATGCTGAACCAGAACTAGTAAATCCTTCTGGGTACAAGCTGAATGTCTGCACTGTGCTCTCTAATAACAGCAAGATATTATCCAGGTGTCTATGTTGAAAGAATGTCAGATTCCCCCTGCTCCCTCAAGCCTGTTGGTTACAAAGAGATCCAGATAAATGGCTGATAGTTATGTGGAGCTGGCATTGAAGCAGCTGGCATCTAATATAACACATGCATGACCTGGGTGTTCCCATCCTAAAATGTAAAATATTAGAGCTGGGACAAAAAAATAGCACTAAAATAGTCTTTTTCCTCAAATTGTGCCAAAGCTAACCTGAAAAATTGTAATGTGTTGTACAATAACTTTTGCAATTTCTCAAGATTAAATTGATGGCAGTGACGTCCAAACTCTTTAAAGGTGTTCACAATGTGCACTTTTCTGTCTTGGTGAACAGAAGAGTCTCCCAACAGGTCTGTTCTGCAACTTAATTTTTATGCTGTTGCAAAGCTGGATTGGGCAGGTGAGTGTTCCCAGCTGTGCTGCAGGTGCTGCTCACCACTGCTGCAGAGGATTTGGCTGTAGGTGAGCACAGACATTGTTTGACAGGATTGCAGGTGCTGGAGTTGGGACCTGAACACCCACTCTCAGGTGAGTGTGGCAGGACAGACTGTTCTGGGTGGAAAGGGGCCCCTGATGGCATCCTCTGAGGAGCTGCTCTGCAAGCCAAAACCAAGCCGAGCTCTTTTTTTAACTAGGTAATTATGTACAGTAATAATTATGATACGCAATTAGGTGCTGTTATATATAGTGTATGTACTGTATGAGACACAGGGAGTGTAACAGGAGCCACGTTAACACAGGAGAGGGAGAAGTTGGCTTTTATCTAAACCTACTTACTTGACAAAATGCTGTCACTGTCTGGTGGTAGCTCTTTGTTGTTACTATTTTAGTTCTCTGAAATTACTTTTATGACCCAGACACTGTCCCCAGCTTGCTTGTCCTGAGACCCCAGGTTCAGTCCTCATCCCAGCAAGCTGCACATAGTAGGATGCACTCAAACAGAAACAAAAAGTGGCCTCAGAGGGTGAAGTCTGAGCACTTGCTGCAGGCAGAAGCTGTTCTGCTTCTGTGGTCATCCCCAGCATTCTGCAATAGGCTGACTTATGCTCAGATAACTTGTAAATTGTATCTGAGTCTTTTTCTTGCTTGGATGCTCTAGCACTGGAGGTCAGAGCAGACCTGAGCGCTGCCAGATTGCAGAGCTGGCCACTGGTGTGGTCCAGGCTCTGGTGCTCCAGCATTGCAGTGTTAGAGAGCAGCTGGATTCTGTAAGGGCTCTCTGCCTGGGCTGCAGCCACCTAAATGGGGCTTCCAGGGTCTTCTGCCAGCATTACATCTGGACTTCTCTGGTAACAGAAATTACCAGGTTTGGGGGAAGGGCAGGCCCTTGAAGGTGTATGGAAAATGTCAGTCAGGGCAGTATCTAAGGTGTGGTTGAGGTTTGCAAAGAAGTCAGACTAAAAAGATTTTTCTCATCTTGTCAGCTTAGCATAAATCTGAGGCCCACCACCTGTGTGTGTTACTATCAGAGCAGATGCCAAGCATGAACACAGGCTGTGGGCTGGGTATGGATATGACAGGCTGCTCCCAGCACCTGGGAGCACATGCAAGGCTGCTTTGAGACCCTCTGTGTTGAAAAACCATACAAGGATCCCCCTGGTTTGGAACATGTGCCATCCACAAAGGGTGATCTTTGTCCTTTCTATCCTCTGGCAGGAACCTCGAGTGTGGCCAGAGCCTGGAGCGCGACGTTTGATGAAATCATAGGGCAGCACATTGAAAAATTTTGTAAAAAATACATGACAATGGATGCTCCCGGAGTGCTAGCAAAATACCCAGACATCTTTGCTGTGGTGATAATCATCATCCTAACAGGTGAGGCACTGGAGGGCGTTCATGGATCTTGCACCTCCTTCTTCTCATTGTTTGCTTTTGGAATGACCATGAAGTCCTGATTTATCTTGAACAGCATATTGAAGACTTTCTTTGATACAAGTATTGGATTAACTTGTATAGCTGTGGAGTTAGCACAGGGCCAGTTTACAAGGTTTTTAATTAGAGAGGAGCATTCTCGATATTTTTTGAGCCAATTTTAAAAGCTTAAATCAAATTTTATATAAAGAGGAAAAGAAAAGATGACTTGTTATCCTCAAGTCAGGTATAGGAGTTTAATCCTTCCCTCCACAAATCCTATTACACAAGAATTTCATGCAGTTGGTCTATCAACCTTATTCCCCCTTTGATAATCTGCCAATTTTTGATGGCTTGAGCCAGGAAAGTGAGGAAGAAAAGAGAGAGGGCTTGGTTCCAGTTTCATGTACTACTGTTTTAGTTTTGGGGTTTTTTTAATATATATGGGCTTCAAATATCTATGGGCAGAATTGAATACAAAACTCCAGAGAAATAAACGTGTCACAGTCTGCACCTTTTTTTTTTTTTTTTCCCAAAAATGTGCTGAGCCTTTTTACATAAATTTGAAAAGCTTTGACAACTTGCAAGATCAAAATTCTGAATGCTTAACTCTACTCCAGCTGGGTCTTGCAAAGCATTACCAAGTTTAGGCAAGTTTTTAAAATTATGCTTCTGTACTCCTCTGTGGTTTCCAGTGGGCAGAAGCTGCAGTGTCACACTAGCAAGGTTATCCTGACCTTTCCCACTGATCGGAATGGCCTTCTGAGTGTGAGCTGTGCTCATGGGGACAGGCCTCATAAGCAAGGGATGCTTTGGCATTTGGGTTTGCATTTGGATCTAGGGCTGCTGATGCCAATAGCAGCCCTCTGTTTTCAGGATTACATCTGAATGGGAGAGATTTCCCCCCTTTGTTCATTCGTATGTAATATGAATTGCTGTCATTTCAAATCAGATCTGGTCTTTCACTTCAGATACAATTTACAAAATTTAGAACTCCTTACTTTAGCACTGCTGAGGTGTAAAGCGATAAAGGTTACTTTATAATAAGGTGGCTTTATGCGTCTGCATGAAGCAAATTCCATGGATTTTAATAAAAAAGGCAATGCATTATTTTCTAAAAAAAAACATTATTTTTTAAAAAGAGCAGCTTTAGTCTCAAATACCATAATCACAAATTTATTTCTGCTTGCACTGTCTTGAGCTTCAGATTTCTAAAAATTACCTTACAATTTTTTGTGGGCTGATATGCAGTCCTCTCAAACACTTCTGATATGGCTGTCACAGCGTATTTCTTACTTTAAGAGAAGGAAAGGTGAGTACACAGGATGCTCCTCTCTCATTGAAATCCCTTGAGTAGCAGTAAAAGGAGACTGTGTTGTGCTTCTGTTCTCCCTCAGGCCATGTGAAGTTTTTTTACTTCTCCTTCAGCCTTAGATTTGAGTTAAAAGTTTCAGTTCTTAAAAATCAGACACCTGAAGAGGAAGTGAACTTGTTGACCTGAGAAGCCAAGCTGTGCCTCAGTGAGATTCTGTTTGCCAAGGCCTGTAGCCATGCTCTTCTTCAGATAAATGATCTTAAGGACAAGCTGAAATCCTGCTCGCACTGAACTCACTGGCAAAACTCTTGCTGATTTAAGTGGGAGCAGGATTCCCAAAATGCCATCTTCTTTGTCTTCAGCTCTAGAAGTAGCTATTTGAAGTAGAATCCTCCTGGATTTGGTCTCTGCTCATATTTCCCCATTTCTAAGGAAAGTTGAGTGTTGTTCATAACTTCTGCATTTAGCCAAAACTTCTAGGACAATGTTCCTTCCTTGAAAACCACCTGTTGTGCTTTCTCTAGGTGTCTGTGTGGTGTTTGAGGTTGTGGGAGTAGTTTAAGTGTATTAGCAAAGCACTTTACTAGAGACATGGTCCACATGGGTGTGCTGGGTGGGGAGGTGTGTCACATTCTGCAGAAATAATGTCTGAGCTGAATTCCTTATCCTACTCTGGGTGAGTGAATCCTGAGCTACTTGGTTTTGTAAAGAAACAAAGTGTGATAATTTGGGCAGAGCACAGCATAAACACAGTTGAGCTATGTCTGCGAGTCCCCAGCACCTGCAGCTGGTGGTGAAATACCTGACCCATGCCATTTTTTCCCCAGGACTTTTAGCTTTTGGTGTGAAAGAATCTGCCCTGGTGAACAAAGTGTTCACCTGCATCAATGTCCTTGTCCTTGGATTTGTCGTGATCTCCGGTTTTGTGAAAGGATCTGTTAAAAACTGGAACCTGACTGAACAGGATGTTTACAACACCAGCCATAGCATTTTCAAAGACAAGTAGGTTGGATGTTTTCTTCTCATCTCAGAAGCTGGTGCATTTTCAAAAGGAAGTTTAAATGGGGGGTTGTGGACTGATTTAGAAAACCAGTGAATGGGATGGCTGCCTCCTTTGCCACATACCTTGGAGGCAAAGCTGTCTTTGGTGCGTGTTTGCTGAAAGCAGGCTGTGCTGATGGGCTGAAAGTGCTAGGAGTTGGCTGTGTTATCCTGGGCCCTGCTGCAGGACTGACCATTTCTAGCCGTATAACCAATATAGCATCTAAAATTGAGAAAAAAGAGCTCTTGAGATGGTGTTCTACTCAAATCTACACCAGGCTGGCTCTGGTGCCTGTATGAAGGCATGTCCAAGTATAGCTGTATACTTTCTTTGAATACTTGGGCAATACCCGTGGGGCATTGTTATACCTTATAGAGACCTTGTCCCAAATAAAGGCAAGTTGCAGATTATTTTAATGAATTGCTGCAAGCATATAATAAATCTGTTTTTAATGACATTTTGCTGCTTGGCCAAAATTCTGTCATCCTACACAAGGTCAAAATTAAGTAGCTTACAAGGCTTACCAGTAAGACAAAGCTATTAATTTTTGCTTGAGACTATACCACACTGAATACGGGCCTTTAAATATCCCCACATGTATCAGGCCTTCTATGATGGCCTGCAAGGTAACACCGTTGGGCAAAATCTGGTGAGATTCATAAGTGTTGTGTGGGTCAGATTTATCTTGTGTAAAAGCTGCTTCTTGAACCTCTTTTCAAAATTCAACCTGCTGCAAATAAATTGCTTTTATAGGATGGGTCCCTTCTCCTTCCCTCCTGCTATTCCCATGCAAGGAGCAATTACTGCAAGAGTTTCTAAGTATGAGTGCAGCTCTTTGACCTCTATGACTTATTTTTGTAAAATCTGTCTGGGGTTTATTTTACCATTATTTCCAGACTAATCCACATTTGGGTTGTGCTATTTCTGTAGGCCAGTTTTCATCTAAGTCTCAGCAGAGCTTCTAAGAGAGAGTTCAGATGCTTATATGTGAGAAAACTTCAGATTTGGGATTTAGGTTAGTTTAACTGCCTTAATTCATCTTTAGAAAGCCTTTTCACTGAAAAAGTGACCTAAATCACTTGAACTGAAGGGTGTGCTTGTTATATGTCACTCAACACAAGGCACATGGATCTGGGGTCGCAATCCAGAGTGCACTGGGATCATCCTGAGTTTGTTGACTTAAATGAACTTTGCTTGAAGCTCATCAAAGCATTTGGTGTGCCAGGGATCCAGGCTCCACTTCTCTCTCACTGTTGCAGGCATGGTTTGACTATGAGCTTTGCACAAGGAATTTGAAAGATGAGAATGGAAGATGGGGTGGATTGTAAACAATCGTGGCACCCTGCATTCTTCTGTTATGTCTACTCACCTACACTATCTGAGACCATCTGAAGTAAAAAGTAGATGGTTCACATGTTTCTCAGTCTTCAGCTTTTCCAAAAGCTTCTGTTCAAATGAATATATGTATCTACACGCATGCAGTAATGTTAGGGGATTATTTTTAATATTCATGGTATTTTCTCCTTGTCTTAGCCAAGACATTTTTATCCACCCCACAAAACAGGTGGTAGGAACAAACCATGAGCCATTTTTATTCCATGCATTCCCCAGGCTCTTGTAGGCCAGTCCAAAGCTCAGCAATGGGTAGGGCTTAGCATTTTGCCTGATATTTGTATGCTAGCATATGAAAGGTAGAGCCTGCTTCCTCAGACTTTGGGTTTGGATTTTGTTATGAGCTATGTGAATAGCTTTGTGACTCCCAGCTAGGCAGGATCCCTTCTAACCCAGTGCCATACCTTTCAGTCAAACACAGGAAGAAAAGCTCTACGGTGTTGGAGGATTTATGCCCTATGGATGGAAAGGAGTCCTCTCAGGGGCAGCCACGTGTTTTTATGCTTTTGTGGGATTTGACTGTATTGCTACTACAGGTAAGAGGGAAGATGTCTTCATTCTGGTTATGAACCTGACTGTCAGTAGGTTGACTTTCAATAATGTTGCAGAGCACAGGTAATAGGGAATTCAGGACACCACATTTGTCATCCCTCTGAACCTCAGAAGCCTCAAAATAGACTTTTGGCTCAGCTGTTCCTAATAGTGAAAGTGCTGAGTTTGTTCAAGTCCCTGAGTGCCTGATTGAGTGCTGACTTCTAGCTGCTGTGGCAATGGATGAACTGTATAACCATGAGCTTCCTCCTTTCTTTGCCTGCAGGGCCCAAGCTTGTGGATGGTCAGTGATGACACAAGCAGGTCAGACTCCACAGAAAACATGTCCAGGTTTACCAGCTAGGCAAACAGGGAAAGCTCAGGTTCACATTTCTGGTATGAGTTTGAGCCTCTAAATCCAGATAATACTTTAATCAACAGATCATTCTGGAACAGAGTTCTTTAGTGCCTTCAGCTGAAGAAGCTCTGATGGCTTGGATTATTTTAAAGATCCAGAGAAAGAGGAAGCCTCTGTAGAGTAAACTGCACCCTAGAGCTGTGCCTCAGAATCAGGAGTTTTTACCTGTAAAGGTTAAGAGGTCTCATTTTGAGAGAGAAACATCAGCATAGTCATATTTCTTGTGGCTTAATTCCCTGAAGAAACAATTATCCTTAATTTCACATTTGGCAAGAACCATTACATCAGAGGGAGAAGGGAATCATCACAGAAAAATATAAAGCATTACCGCGTCTTGCTCCAAGCAAGGAGTTGAAGTGTTGGCTACATTACTCCAGCAAGCCCTGGAGCCTCTCCTTGTGGGAGAAACATTAATCTGCTTTTGGCTTGTAGGTGTATGGATCTGTGTTTATCAGTTCATCTGGCTGAAATGCTGTACCTCAGGAGCTATTGCTTTCAGAGCAATTTTGTAGGACTAGGAAAGTGCAAATCTGTTCTGTAATTGATCAGTCCCTGAATTTTGAGGAATTTTGGTTTTTTACACAGATTTTCTCCCACTTGGTTGTTGAAAATTTTCCACAAGATCTAGAGGAGATCCTTTTGTTAAGAGGTATTTTCAAAGATCCACGTGACTTTCGGGCATTCTGCCTTTCTCCGGAAATGGGCACCTATGGTGCCATGATCATGGTGTATTAATTCTGGTGAAGATGTTACTAAAATGGACATCCATGGATTTTTCCCTGCAACTGCACAATAATTTCTCACTCCATCATCTGTGATCATTGAACTCTTGTTGCATCTGCACCACAAGTAGGATAGAAGGATGATCTGTTTATGGGACAGGACTATTTGTAATCCAGATTGTTTCTGTGCCTTAGTTTACAAGGCTTCCATGAATGTGTGTCAGAAGAAGTGACAGGAGCAGCAGAAATGGGCTCAAACAGGCTGTGATAATCCCAAGTGGATGGAGCAGGCCATCAGCAGCATTATGGTCAAAGAGCACCTCTGTGCCCGTGAAATGTTTGAAAGCCCCAACCAGCATGCCTGCCCTGGGTTGGGATAAAGGTCTTGCTTGTCATTTAGCTGATATTTAAATTCCTTTCTTGTAGGTGAGGAGGTAAAAAACCCTCAGAAGGCCATTCCTATTGGCATTGTGGCATCTCTTCTCATCTGCTTTGTGGCTTATTTTGGCGTGTCGGCTGCCCTGACGCTCATGATGCCTTACTACCAGCTGGATACCAATAGCCCTTTACCCAATGCCTTTAAATACGTGGGTTGGGATGGAGCCAATTATGCAGTGGCTGTTGGTTCCTTGTGTGCACTTTCTACAAGGTAAGACACTGCTTTGCATTTTTGCATCTCTCAAGGTACATCTTTCATGTACCTCCACCTCCTTTAAGAAATGGAGCAGAGACCAAGGACGAAATTCAAAGCTACTGACCTCAAAAGGACTGGGATTTCACCCTGTGGTAGGTACCAGAGAAGCAGGTGACCAGTATCACTTCAGAAGCTCCCATCTTAGCAGAAGACCCAGCAGGTGCATCTCAGGAGTATAAATCTGGATTGAGTGACTAAGTTGTGGAGGCAACTATGCAATGCAAGCATGGTTTGGGTGCAAGACATCCTGGCCTGCTGGGTGAGAGCAGACTTGTGTCAGGTAATGCAGGGTGCATCTTCAGGAGCGCATGGGGCTTACCTTATCCAGGGCCATCTGTCGGCAGGTTACCTGCAGGACAGCCATCTGGAAGGGAGGCAGGGCAGGCTGGAGGCAGAACGTGTCACCTCTTGAACTTGGAAGGCCTACTGCAGATCAAATTAGACATACTCAATTAGGTGAGCAACTCACAGAGACTCATGGAAGTTATAGCTCCTTTATTACCTGAAAGTCAGGCTGGTTTTTGCCCCATGGCTAAGTTTAGCTATCCAAAATCATAGAGCTGCCCCTCATTTTCCAGCTATCAATAAAAAGGGTATTCAGAGGGTGCTCTTGAAGGAGAAGCTGAAGTGAATGAAAGCTACATGTTCTATAGTTACACTGCCATAAACTTGCTTTTACTTGTGTGCCTGTGCTCAGCAGGAGGTAATATAAGTAGATTATTTCTCCTTCCTGTGTCCATAGTCTCCTTGGCTCCATGTTTCCGATGCCTCGAATAATTTATGCTATGGCAGAAGATGGACTTCTCTTTAAATTTTTGGCTAAAGTCAACGAAAAGAGAAAAACTCCCTTAATTGCAACAGTGACCTCAGGAGCTACTTCAGGTAGGATCCAAAGACTTGCACAAATGTGTGGAAAGGAGACATAAGCTCATCTTCAGGGCAGATAAGTCTGCCTGACTCTAGCCCACTTACTAATTGGATATATTGCAGAATACAGCATCCCAGAGAGTGTCCTGGATTTCTAGGGCATGCCCTGGAGAGTCTGGGTGAGCGTGAGTAGCTTTCTGTGTGCTTGTCCCTCTTTCTCAGAGCTCGTTGCTTACAATCCTGTCACATGCCAGGAACTACCTTTATCTGCTCAGCCAGCCTTAAAAGTAATTAACGCCCTGCTAGGCAGCAGCCAGTGGTGCCCCAGCATCCTTGTGGCTGTTGGCCTGGCTTGGCTGGAGACACTGCACCGCCTGTGGGTAGCAGCTCTGCAGAAAATTTGAGAGCAGCCGGAGATGAGCAGATGGCCCCTGTGGCACTGGCATTTGTTAATCAGTTAGTCACAGCTGGCAGCCATCCTCTTCTCCCCTTTTTCGCCTGGCGTGCCAGAAATATGGGAATTAAACCTCCCGGACAGCAAGGATGAGCAACTTATCCTGTTCTTGCAGCCTGCAGCCTCCCCCTTCCTCACAATGCCTGGCAAAGAGGGGAGCAGCCTTGCTGCTTCCTCTTTACCTTCTGCTGCAAATGCAGGATGAGCCGTGGCTACAAGAATGTGCCACCTTTGGTGGGAAGTTGCTGCCGGACTGCTGCCCTGGGCTCTGAGCTCCTGTGAAAGGGCTCAGCTCCTGCTGCTGGGACTCGCAGAGCCTCCTCACAGCTTCCTTCTCCCGCACCTTCCTCTTCAGGTATTCTTGGGTCCAGACCATGGTGGGGCAATGGTCTGGAGCAATATAAAGGAAAAAAAAGCAACATTGTGGTCTCATCCAAGTGGTCCATAGTGCCTATGACCAAACCCATACGAAGCTGCAGACACAACATTTGCCAGCTGAGTTTGAAGGTTGTGCTGGTATTGAGTTCCAGGTTGTGCATTAAGGCTGAGTTGGGCCAGGCTTGGCTCTGAAGTCTCTACACTCTCATACAGCTGTTGGTGCCACCTGTTGTCTGACTGTGTGTCTTTTATCCACTTACTTGCCTTCTGAAAGCCATATACAAATTCCTGTATAACTAGGGTTACCTGGTGAGGGTGTGTAAGCAGGGTAATCCCTAAGGAATGGCAGCCTTTTTCTGGAAATCCCCTCAATGACACCTGGTACTTCAAGGTGCCCTGTTTGATGCTTGGTCCACTGCATGCACAAGCCTGATTGCAGCCTAGCTGAGCTGAGACACCAGGGCAAGGTGCTGCCCATCCTCTATTCCCTCTAGCTACTTCCAGGAGATAATTGTGGCTTTAGGAGTGCTGCAGCTGCACTGGGGCACTAACAATGAGGTTGTGGCTTAAACCCCTGCTTTTTTTGGTAGTTGGGTGATTATAGCTGGAACTTATTGTAGTAAGCATTTCCTATTGTTTCAGCTAGTGAGGCTGGGACAGCCTGGGGAGTCTTAGAGTATTCATGCACCAAGGGCTGCCTCTCCTTCTCTTGGGACATCTTAAGCTCCCCTACCAAGTCCTGAGCAAGAGTCACATGTGTGCCGCATCGTTATTAACGCTGCTGAGATGTGCATGTTCTGCCATGTTGCTGATTTTTCTTCTCTCTTACCTTCCTCTCCTCCTACAGCTGTTATGGCCTTTCTGTTTGACTTGAAAGATCTTGTGGACCTCATGTCCATCGGGACCCTCCTGGCTTACTCCTTGGTAGCAGCCTGTGTGTTGGTACTGAGGTAAGAATGTAGAAGCTTTGTCTCTTCTGGCAAACAGAGTGAATTCCACACAGCAGTCAGATGCCCTCATAGTTTTTATGGGCACATCTCCAGCTACAGGCATGTGAAGAGCTTGTTTCTTTAATTTCATGGGGGATTGTGTTAGTTGGATCTACAGGGACGTCCTTGTTCATGCCAGTCCTGCTATGGTCAACTCTGAATGCCCCAGGAGATATGCCAAGGGGTAGGGAGGAAAGATGTGTGATCCTGGATGCCTGTTTTGTCCCCACTCTTGTCCCTAGTGGGGACACCATTTCAGGTTGTCCTCCTTTTGAGAGGGGATTTGAGATGAAGTCTAGTAGCAGGAAAAGAGCTGAGCATGTGCTTGCAGGATCAGTGTGTCTCTTAGAAGTGCTGAGCTCCCACAGCTTCCCAAAGCTAAGCTAACAGCCTTCAGTGCTTGGCACCTTACAGACAGCAGCACTCAATGAAAAAAATATCTGAAGATCATGTTACTGAAAAGTACCTTGGTTTATTGAATGACTTCTTCAGAATGAGATGGAGGCTTTCACAGCAATTGCGCTGAACTAAGAACAGTCTTACAGCATGTGAAGGGCCAGTGCTGTTCTGTGGTACCATTGCTTTGTGTTTGTGCTCTGCTCCCTGCCCCTTGAAAATTCTTTCTGCTTTACCTTATCCATCTTAAGTTTCCTGGTTTCCCAGCCTATTCTTTTCCTCAGAGCTAGAAATAGCTTTTTAATTTGTTTTTGCAAGCTGCTATTGCATGACATTTCCTCCATCATGGGTTGGCAGAGGCAACAGCCTGTTTTGTAGTGACCTTGGCAGTGGATTTGTCTGCCTCTTGACTGCTTAATGATGTAGCAGCTGAATTGTTTCCAAAGCTGTAGGGTCCTTCCACTAGTTTCTTGCTGTGGCTAGACCCAAGGGTTTCACTGAATTTCACAATTCTGTGTTTAACAAATGCCTCTTTGTGAGCACATCACCACAGGAACAGTTTTAAGGTGACTAAGGTGGCCCTGTCCTTTAGTCAGACTTGTGGCTGAGTAACTTGACAAAACATTCTGTAATAGAGAGCTGAGGCTGGAAGAGTGTTTTTTATTTATGATTCCACATGGCTGTGTGCCACAGCCCTGTTGAATGTGCTATCCACACATGCAACAACCATTCTTGCTTCAGCTCTTCCTTCCTTGTGTGGCAGTGGACAAGCTGGCAGAAGAGCCAGGGGTGGAGGAGCAGGGCTGCCAGGAATGCTGCTGCAGGGTGTGATAGCTGCAGAGCTGTTAGCTCAGCCAGCTCCATGCCAAAATGCAAGAGCTGAACTGCCACAGATGATACAATAGCCTGGTTATGACCATCGGTCTGTCCCTCTGCTCTTTCCTTCTCCTGTCACCCAGTCATGTCTTGGTGATGTGGATGACAGAGTTCATGAAAGGGAGCACTGTTCACTTTAAAACACTTAAGTTACAACCAAGCTGTAGGTGATTAGAGCTGGTCATATTGGCTTACATCATGATGACATCATTCTCAAATTTCCTCTTGAAGTAGAAGGGTATAGACACGATGTGGGCCTATTCTGGTGCTGTAAAGCTCTGGCATGCAGCCATGACTATCTGTGTGGCTTTTAAATGAGTGGTACTTTCATTTAAATGTCAAACTAACAGGCTCTCTTTGTGTCATTTCCTTATCCTAGGTACCAGCCAGAGCAGCCTAATTTGGCATACCAGATGGCAAGGTCGACAGAGGAGACAGATAACAACGAGTCTGTGAGCACCAGTGATTCACAGGCTGGTTTTCTGCCAGAGGAAGAGGAGAAGTTTTCCCTCAAAGCCATACTGTGTTCTACAGATTCAGATCCTTCCAAATTCTCAGGTTTGGTGGTGAATGTCTCAACCTTCATCTTAGGTGAGTGCTGGGCAGTGTGTCTCTGGGGCAATGAGTCATCTGGTAGGGCTTTGTTCTCACCATGGTGGGAAAACTCGCCTCCATTATGTGATTTTGATGAGCTCTTGTAATGGCCAGAATAACTGAAGATTAAATTTCTGATTTCTTAAAAAGAAATCCACAGATGGAGTGTGTGGGGGTGTGTAGTGGGAAAGGCATATCTGTTATGGGTAGGGTTTTTGTGAGTTGCTGTTTTGTTTGTGAGCTTTCAGATTCTGCTTTGCCTGCTTATGATTTGTTCTCAGGCTTTCTCTGTATCTAAAAGAAAAAAAAAAATCAGTAACCTTTGGTGTCTGTTCACAGGTTTCCTTATTGTGGGTATCTGTATCCTGACTTCCCTTGAGCCAAACATTCTGATAAACACTGTACAGATTATTGCTGCCATCCTTGTTGTCACTGTCATCTTCATTATACGGAAACAGCCTGAGAGCAAAACCAAACTCTCCTTTAAGGTGAATGTCCTGGGACATGAAGCTAGAAAAGAGGTGTCTGGGAGGTGGTTGGAGGAGGAAGTGCATGTGATGGTCTGTATCAGAAGGGGGACACTGGCCAAATGGACGTGCACAGAATAGAGGTATGGTGTCAATTTTTCTATCCAGGAGAAGCTGGAAAGGTGGAACCTGCTGCAGAGGTGTGGCTGGAAGGGAAGGCAGGACCCTGCTTTTGAAAGCAGATGGGTATAGGATAGGGAAGAGACAGACACTGGAGGAGAGGGGACAGTTGTGAAGGATCACATCAGATCATGGATACAAAAGGAGAAAGAACACAAAAAGTAAACTTGTTTGCAAAGATCTAAGGCACTAAGAGTTCACTTTCATGTCCTCCTTAGTCCCCATGGAGGCTAAGGGATGACCATTCTCTCTTAAACAGCCTTAAGGATGAGGGATTCTGTTGCTTTCCTGCCCTCTCCAAGCACACCATCCTTTCCATATTAAACAAACACTGGGATGGGTTTTTCCTCCCAGTGTAATCCTACAAGTCATACTTTATTATGTTGATTTCAGGTAGCTCTGCAATTTATTTAATTAATTTTGGATTATAATTCCATCCTCTAAATTGCTTTCATTTGGATTGCTCTTCAATTATTTTTTTCAGTAAATTCACAGATTTTAGTAACTTAATATAACCAGTTTTCCAAGGTTGTGTTTGCAGTTCATTTTGGGTTAATGATCCCAAAGGTGAAAACAGAAATTTCCAGGAGCAAAAAAGTTATGAACTCTCATCTAGATCTTATGTTCTGAACATGCTTCTGAGGAGGTCTGTTCACCTTTCACTCAGGTTATTTCATCTCCTTTTTTCCCCCTCAGCCACTACCCTGTCCAAGTAAAAAGAAAATTATACCTGTCACAGCTAATTCTGTAATCATAAAATCATAGAATCATTTTGGTTGGAAAAGACCTTTAAGATCATCAAGTCCAACCATTATCCCAGGACTGCTAAACTCTAAACCACGTCCCAAAGTGCTACATCTGCATGTCTTTTAAACATCTGCAGATCTGATGACTGCACCACTTACCAGTGGTAGCCTGTTTCAATGCTTGACAACCTTGTTTCTTATCTCCTTGCTGTTCTTTGGGCATTTACATCCTGAGAGTGATTTTTTTCTCCAAAATCACTCTGGAAATCCAAGGCTGACCTGTTTGTTTCCCAGTTGTTTTTCTGTATTTTTAACAGGTAATTTTTCTCCCTTATCCCGTCTTCAGAGACTATATCAATCTACCAAATGCTCTCAGAGTTGCTTATTTAATAGTTCAGAGATAACTCCGCAAACCCCGGGGGAAAAAACCAACCAACCAAGGAAAATTTAATTGGCCCCAACGAACTGAACAAACCAAAATTAAAAAAAAAATCCTCCTTTTTGGAAATTGGGGGCCCAACCCCCCCCCCCAAAGAAGGGAACAACCAACGCAAAAAAATTTTTTTTTGGCAAAGCTTAAATTAAGAAAGGCCCACATTTCAGCCTGTTTATTTTGTAAATCCCCTTTTCCCCTTAGGAGTGAAGTTCGCTTTCCATTTAATTCCACTATATTCAGAAACTTTTCTATTATTATAATTTCTCTTGTTTGATTTTATATTTGCAGTGCTATTTTCTGTATTCTTATTTTTGCATTTTGGCTTTGCTGTCTCATTCTTTGATTCTCAGAGCACTAAGGCATTCTTGGTGCTGCTTTAGTAATTTCTTGCATTATTTGCTGGTTTTCCTAACTTTGGGATAATTTGCTCTCTATTGCTTTGGTACCTGATGGATGAAGTTTCTCAGGCCCCTCCTCTGACATTTCCTTACCTGCATCTCTTGGTCTTCAATAGGTGCTTGTCATGATACAGTCCTTGGTTTTTACTCTTCTCTCTTTGCTCCATGAGTATTTAGTATTGCCTCTAAAATTTGCCTCTTCCCTCTTCTAGACCACAAAATAAGTTTTTAAAACAGGTGAACAGCATCGTTCACATGCCCCTCCTGTATTGGACTGATATCCTTTTTGGTTTAACCTTGCTTTTTCTCAGATCTGGCAGCTGAAGAGTTGGTAACAGCCATTACTTCCCATTTACAAGGGATGTAATGTTTGTTCCTGCTCATTAACCATGCTTGTAGATGTAACATATCCCTCATTCTTTTTCAGGTACCTTTCTTGCCCTTTCTTCCTGTTGGGAGTATTTTTGTGAATGTTTACCTCATGATGCAGCTAGATGCAGGCACGTGGATTCGGTTTGCAATCTGGATGCTCCTAGGTGAGTTTAAGTGAAAAACTATGCTCAAAGTTACTAGATTTTTGTTCACCATAAATTTATTATAGCATTCCAGGGAGGGATTCTGCACTCTGATCATCCTCGGGCAACTCTGGTGACTTGACTGAAGGTGTTTAGTCAGTATGTAACAAGCTTTGTTTCAAATTCAAGGGTCTTGAAGCCTTTGTGTGGACAAAACAACAAGACATGAACCATCTTATGGGTCTTGTTGCCAACAAGAAACCATAGAGCATTCCTTTGTTGGCTGGCCTTGTGCTGCTGTCTAGGTGATGGAGCTTGTGCTTCTGGAGCTGAAGAACCTGAGCTGCATCCCAAGATGTTCCCAGCAGCCATGTAGATAAGCCTGAATTGTCTGAAATGCTCAAATCAGGATCCTGTTTGGGGCTGGGATAGATGGACTTTTAAAGACTGGTGCCTGTGTTAATGGCTTTTTTCCCTAAAGAAGATAGTGGCTGGCTGCTAGAAGCTAACCATGAGGATGGCTGGACTTAGACTGGTGTAACTTGTGGCTGTGAGTAGAGGTTTCTGTTTCTTTACAGAGCTAACAGTGCGTTCTCCTTTGGCTTCCACAGGCTTTATCATCTACTTTACCTATGGAATATGGCACAGTGTGGAAGCCAGCTATGCAGCCTCAGGAGAAGCAGAGAGAAACACAGACACCGGCTCAGACAGCTGCAAATGACTGTGATTGACTTACGGGCGACTGAAAGAATGGCTGCAGTGAAAGAAAATTTGTGGTGGGCATCCTGAACCAGATTACACCTGTAATCAGTTATCAGGAACATGGAAGCAGAATGCAGGACTCCCCAGCTTGGTTACTGCAGCTTGCAGTTTGTTTGGCAGCACAGTTAAAAGGGACTGCAAGATGAAAAGAATCAACTCTGCCATATTCCCAGCAGCACTGGCAGTTCATCTGGGGTGCTTCCCTTTCTCCCTCTCAGATTTTGGTTTTTTTCCCCAGTATGTAGAAGGAGAACTGCTTCTGTGTGCAAATGCTGCTATGAAACCAGGCCTCACAAATGTCCTTCTTTCAGTAGCCCTGGGAATTACCTCCCAACAAATGTTCTTCCCAATTTTATATGGAGCAGGTTTTGCAGTGCTACTGTCAGGCATAAACCAGGATCTATCCTTTACCCTATGTGAGCTGTACCCTCTGTGTATGCACACAAAAAAAAACGTTCTCACAATCACTAGATTTCCCCAGGTTAACAAAGCACCTGTAAGATTTGCATTCTTTAAAATACCAGATTTTAACTTTTTTTTTTATTTAACTGGGTTTTTTAGCTACGTGGTCACATGCTTTCAAGCATGTCGTTGCTGGGAAATGTTGAGAAAATTAGTACTTGCTGATTTTCAGGTGAGTGATTGCTCGCCAGCACACAGGTAACCCCAGCAGGTGTTTCTCCCAACTGTACGCTCCACAGAGGAATTGCCAGCTTTAGTCAGGAACCCACATGGTGCAAGTACTGCAAAGGCTTGAAAGCAACAAGTGTCTCCAAAGAGCAGTCCTGCCTCTTTGCTTCAGAAATCACCAGTGGTATGGCTGTAGTGGTGGGGCTGGCCAGCAGAACTGAGCTGCTGTGACAGCAAGTGCAGCCCTATGTTGTTCCCCTCACATCAGTTTTCTGTGCTGGCTGCTTGGCATTAGCAGCTTTGGTTTGGTATTGGCAGGTGGAGCACATTCCTGCCCTGGGGAGGGAAGCACGGGAGGATCCTCAGAGGCATGAAATGCCTGGTCTCAGCCCCCTGCCCAGGGAGGCTGTGGGGCTGTGCAGGGACTTTTCAATCCTGGCAGAGTGTTCAGACCAGAAAACACGATTAAACTCTAGGGTCTGACTTGCTGAAGGGAGCTTTCCCTTTGGGGCTGGAGATCATCTCCAAAGCCTGCCTGTAGTAAGGCAGGAAATTTGGAGTTGGGACCAGGATCTGTATTTGATTGGCAATGTCTTGGTTTTGGCTGTAAGTTGATTTTTTTTTGTTTTAATTCTCTCTAATAGCTTTCCCTAGCCAAATTAATCCACTCCCCTAAAAAGGCTTATTAAAGCATCGTGAAGGTTAGCCATGCCCAAGTAATCCCACTGATCTAAATTAATGCTTCAGCTTGTACTGAAAAACAGATTATAGAATTGTGGAATAGTTTGGGTTGCAAAGGGACCTTTGAAGATCATCTGGTCCAGTTTACCTGACATCAGCAGGAACATCTTTAACTAGATAGGTTGCTCAAAACCCTGTCCAACCTGCTCTCAGACACTTCTGGGGTTGGAGCATCCCAGATGGATACTGCAGAAATCCACTTTTCCGATGTGAGTGGATGCTTTCCTAGGTGTCCTTCATACTACTGCCTCTGAACACTGGACAGTCTTTAATTTGTCAGCATGGCTCTTGCTGATGAAGCAACAGGTTCTTGCACCTGTCATTGAGTTGGAGAAGTGAACAGACCTCTGCATGACATGCCCAGGGTCTCACCAGGCATCTGATGCAGCAGAAAAGGGAATCACACCATCTACTGGATTTTATGGCTGGATTGCGGACCATTTCTCATGTTTCCAAGAGAATTTATAGCCCACTGAAGGGTTTTCATCTTTTAATTTTAGTACACTGGGAGGCTTTTCTTGACAGGATGGCAATTTGAGGAAGTGAAGGCAATGTGTTCATTGCCTCCTAGGTGCCCTTCAGGGTGTGTGATTAGTGCAGCTTCCCCCACAGAATGAAGTCGGGGGTCTGCTCCAGTCACTGGGTCTTGACCATCTGTTAAGCCCTGCTCCTTGTGCATATACAAAGTCTTATTCAAGCAGGGAGAGATTAATACAGAAATTAAAAGCCACTAAGTTGAAGTCTATTTTGTTTAAACACAGGCAAGCTCAACACACTCCACAGCCTCCCAAAAGGCACTAAAAAGGTGGTGGGAGGGCAACAAGATGAAAACTGAGGATCAAAGTTTCATATTGTACTAAAAATAGAAGGATGTTTTTCCTACCTGGCTACCAGCTTCCGTTCAGTGAAAACATGAAGCTTGTGTCCTTACCAAAGCTTCATCTGTGCTGAGCAAGCCAAGGACCTGGTGGAAAATCTTTCAGGAGGATGTTGTCAGGCACATTCCCAAAGTGGGGTATGACCCAGTCCCTTTTTAATCCTTATGGCAAAGCCTGAGCAGTTCTATAGCTCTCAGCAGGAGGGCCGGGTGAAGGGGACAGGGGATGGGGTGTTGAAACTGAATGAACTGGAACATTGGGGAGTTCAGGTGTTTGTTGATGAGCCTGAACCACTGGCAGAAATGTTCCTGTTCTCACATGCTGCAGCATGACACTTTAATGGAAACATTGGAGACCACACTCACTGTGCTGGCAGCCCCAGTCATATTGGAAGCATCCTAGGAAATGAGTCCATGGAAACTCATAGCATGTGAGCCACTGTCAGGTAAGGCAGCTGACCAGCCCTGCTGCCAGGAAGCTAATGACTGACTAGCTTCCATGTTTACCTTAATGGGGTAACCCTCTAATGGGCTTTTGCTTTGTTTCCCATTCATCCCAGTTTCTGTACGCTCAGAAAAAACACGGCAGGATATGCTGGTTTGTATCCGTCAGCCCACAGGTGCACTGACACACGGATTTATTGTCAGGAATATATTACACTTATCTGTACATCATAATTGAAATAATACAAACTCTTCCTGTAATCATTAGCCACATAATAAAGAGGACCACAGAACTCCTGCTGCATGGGAAACTGTACAGAGGCTCCTCAGAGTGTCCATGGGACACAACCACCATCAGTGCAGAGACAAAATAACCTGATTTTGCACTTGATCGTTTTTCCTTTCCTCCCCCCACATGCCACCACCACAAGCTTTTGCTGCTGTGCATCAAGTGAGTCAACCCGTCTGTGCCAGCAGTCACTGGAGGTGCAATCCCAGTAGGGCCAAATGGTACCCTCCCTCAATAAAAAGGAGTTTTCCATGTCCCCCGCTCCCTGCTGGCTCTCCTGCCATCCCATGGCTGATACCTGCTCCCAGTCCCCATCTCTGGAACTCCCTGGGAGCAGCTGTAGGCTGGTTTTATTGCTGCTAGACCCTTCTGCATTGGGTAAAGATTAACAAAATCAAACAGTTTCCTTAAAGACAGAGATTAAGAAACCCTTTCTTATTGCTGGCTACATTCCCTCTCCTGCTAAAGGCCCTCCTAGTTCCAAATGGGAAAGTCCACGCAGAGGCCATGGCATTCAGGAAGTTTCCAGCCCTGCAAAAGCAAACACTTTCCCTTCCCAGCTTGGCCCTGCATCCGGGGATCTTCATTCCTTGGGAATGGCTGCCCCATTCAGGGGCTCCTGCCTTCCTCCCACTGTCTCAGTGGCCTGGGCTTTCCTTTCATAATACTTCAGCATGCAGAGGCAAAGAAAGACAGGACAGAGGAAAAGTACCAAAAAGGAATAACCTTTTTTGGGGAAAAAAGTCTGTGTTTCTGGTTTTGCACCAGAAGGAGCCACTCTTCACACACACCACACCCCCCCCCCCCCCCCCCCCCCCCCCAAATAGGGCCAGGTTGCTGGGTGGCTAGTGATTGGGCAGGCCCCAGAGGGTGTTCCAAGGAAGAATCCAGTGAGAGGCAGGATTGGGAGGCAAAAATTAGATGGGAAAGGGATTGGAAATAATACCAAATGATGATGGAGCTAGGTTCAGTCCCGGTTTTCCCACCATAAAAGCCCCACTCCCAATTCACTGCTGGAAGCATCTCTTGAATATGATTTTAAACCAACAAAGTGGTAAGGGAAGCACCATATGTAGAGGGGAAAGATTAATAAATTACAACAGGTTCTGCTAGCCTGTCCTGGGCCAATAATATGCTGTAGTGCATTTAAAGTTTTGAGTAGCATCAAGGTCATAACTCCAGTTGTATCATCTCAACCATTTTTACAAAGGGTAAAAAGGAGAATCCTAGAAACTACCAACAAGCTACTCTGACTAATCTGATGGCTGTCTGCAATAGTGTGACTGTGTTGGTGAGTGAGGGATGAGCAACTGATGTCATTTACCTGGACACTGCAAGGCCTTTGACATAATCCCACACAGCATCCTAAACTGAGGAGATACAGCTTTGATGGATGGAAGCTGGATATGGAATTGGCTGGATGGTTGCATCCAGACCAGCTCAATGTCCAAACAGCCATCAGTAAGAAGTGGTGTCCCTCAGGGGTCAGTATTGGGACCTATACTGTGTAATACCTTAAATGACTCAGACAGTGGGATCAGGTGCATCCACAGTGAGTCTGTGGATTGACACCAAGGTGAGTGGTTCAGGTGGTACACTGGAAGGAATGGGATCTGGACAGGCTTGAGAGGCGAGTCCATGTGAACGTCATGAGGTTCAACAAGACCAAGTGCAAGGTCCTGCACCTGGGTCGGGGCAGCCCTTAGTAAGAATACAAGTTGGGGGATAAAGAGATTGAAAACAGCCCTGCTGAGAAGGACTTCGGAATACTGGTGGATGAGAGTCTGGACATGAACCAACAATGGGTGCTCAAAGCCCAGAAAGTCAATTGTAACCTGAGCTGCATCCAAAGCAGCGTGACAAGCAGGGCAAGGGCGGGATTCTGCAAGGGAGGGATTCTGCCCTTCTACTCCGCTCTTGTGAGACCCGACCTGGAGTGCTTCATCCAGCTCTGGGGATAAGAAGGACACGGACATATTGGAGTCGGTCTAGAGGAGTGCTACAAAGATCTTAGAGCACCTTTTCTATGGAGACAGGCTGAGACACTTGGAGTTGTTAAGCCTGGAGAAGAGAAGACTTAGGGGAGATCTTTTAGCAGCATTCCAGGACCACAAGGAGGCCTATAAGATAAAATTGAGAGAGACTTCACCAGGGCCTGTAGTAAAGGACAGGGACAAGGGACAAGATAGGACAAGGAACAGCAGTTTTAAACTGGAAGAGGATAGGTTTAGATGGGACATAAGGAAAAGCATTTTTACAATGAGAGTGGTAGGATACTGGAATAGGTTGCCCAGAAAAGTTGTGGATACCCCATTCCTGGAAGTGTTCAAGGCCAGGTTGGATGAAGCTCTGAGCAACCTGTCAGTGGAAAGTGTCTCTGCCCATGGCAGTGGGGGCTGGACTAGATACTCTTAAAGTTCCCTTGTAACCCAAATCACCCCATGAGTCTGTGATCTCATTGTATCAGAATTCTATTGGTGGAATGAAAGATGGTAATGCTGTAGGTGTTGCAAATAGCTGTGCAGTTAGCAAGTATCAAAGTGATTAAAGTCATACTTGGCAAGAAGGGGCTGTGTGTGCATGTGCGTGCTAGGTATCTATCTTTCAGGTTGTACTTGCTGGACACACTAAAATCTAGCAATGCATTTCAACAGTAGTAGCTGGTGTGGCATGATCTAATCTAACAAGATGCTTAATTTACTCAGTATCACAGTACCATGCAAAAGCTGCTACAAAAATAAATTTCTCTAAAAAGGAGAAAAAAAAATCATCTTTCTTTTTAACACTGTGGAACAGGCCACAGTTGTTTTGATGGTGGTTGAAGCTGTATCTAAGCTGCAGTCTGTGAATCCTGAGTATTTCCCAGGAAAGCTGAAGCACAGCTCCCACTCAAGCAGAATGGCAGGGCTGTGCAATGCCACCCCTGTGGGTGCAGGGCCTGCTGGTGCCACCACACACCCGGGTGAGAAAGTCACTCCTGCAGCATCCTGCACCTCGAGGATTTCCTCCAGGTCCTGTCGCGCTGCTAACTTTGGCCCCAGTGCACAGAGCAGGCCTGCATGCAGGCTCTTCGTCTAAGCTGGGTAGAAAAGCATCCCACAGATCTCTTTGTATTTTAAATTATGCTCGGGGGTATTTTTATCTTGTTAGCAATGCCCATGAGGGCCCTGCAGACAGTGTCACAGTGTCACCCCAGCCGCTCCATCCCCTCAGGTGGGAGGTCACCCCAAGCCTGGGTGAACATTTTTGCTTCTAGATGGGAAAGTTAAAGGTAGTTTAGCCATTCATTTCCATGAATCTTCAAAGTGCTCTGTAACTCTGGGTAAGCTGTAGCAATGTAAAATAATGTAGATATGTGGAAGGAATGAAATTCTGACTTCATCTGCACCTATGAAGCTGACTATGCTCTATTTGGCATTTGAGGTGGAAGGAAGCTAGAGCCCTAGCAGATGCCCAGTATCTCATCTTACTATTGGAAACCTCTCATCCAGCAAAGGTCAAGGATAAACAACTTATTTTCTCATTCTGGCTTCTGGGCCTTGAAATAAAACAGAATGGACAGAAACCTACAGCCAGAGATTTTGATTGCATCCTAACCACGACAAAGTAAAACAAGAAAAGATCTGACTAGGATTGAAATACACTAAAATTGAACCATGTTAGCCAGTAACCTCTACCAAAAACTAAAACTTTCAGTTTTCTCATCTCATCTCATCTCATTTCTTATCTCTAGCCTATCTCCACTTACAATATCAAAGCTAAGAGTTAAAAAGCAGTGGATGGTATGCATATCTTTTCTGGTGTTCAATGCAAAGGTGATGGTTTTGAAGGCAGTACTGTCTTAGAATTTCAAATTCGCTGGTGTTCATGTTACATAGAGTACCACTTGGTGGTCACTTGAAAGGCGCTTCTACTTCTTTGTAACTTTCTTCTAGGTTGGGTATAAATATTCCTGGGAGGCTAAACAGAAATGCATTTTGTTTAGATACAAGTCTTAGGCACAAGTTAGAAAACTGCTGACTGTAATGAAAATATATCAGCACTTAGTAGTATCCAATAATATAAAAAATGTAATTCAGAACATCTGCAACTACATATATATGTGTGTGCGTCTATATATAGGTATAAAGGTACAATACATACATGTATATAAACACAGACACATATACAGAAATATTCACAACTTGAACTATATTTGTAACTAACCTGAAATACTGCAGCAAAAGTTCATTCTGATGAATCATTAATAGAGCATTTCCCAACTTTTGGCTCTAACCATAGTTAAAATGTTAAAACATCAAACTAAACCTTTTGCTATCCTAACTTTCTGCTGTTTTAGTTCTTGGCTATCATTTTTGCTACCCTAATCGACATGTCAGAACCAAGAATTTCTATATGGGGACTGTAAGAGTACCCTGCCTAGTGTAAAGCTATGCAGCTACTGAACATGCTTGTAGCCATGAACCCTGGGCGCCTGTTGATGGTAGTACTTCCTTGGATGGTAACAACTTGCAGATTGGAAATGCATAAAAGGCAGGGAACTTTCGGCACATAGCTGCCCATTATCGCCTCAAGGTTCTGACTTTTGCTGGAGAGGAGTTCCCTGATGAGCAGCGATAAAAAGGAGTGGATGGTGAGGGTGGGAGTTTGACGGGGCTCACAGCATCTCCCTCCTGCAGCTTCCAGAGCAGCTCCTCATTAGTCCTGCTGAGCTTCTTCTTCTCCTCCACTTCTTTCTCAACATATTCTTGAAGATTTGCATTCTCCTCTGACAGTTGCCTGGAGAGAGAAGCAGGACAACATGTAAGGCGCTCCAGGGCAAAGATGGTGGCATTCATGCAGCCACCCCTGCCCCTAGGGCTGAGCTGCCAAAGCTGTGGCACAGCTATCTCCAGATCTCTCCACTGATGGGTGAGAAAGTAATTTCTACAAGTCATAGCTTCCCCCCAGTGTCTGGTTCTGCTTCCAGATGCACCCATGGTGGGATGGGCCCCAGCCTTTTTT